CCTGTGACATACACACCTTAACTGTGACATACACACCTCACCTGTGACATACACACCCTGTACCTGTGACATACACACCTGAACTGTGACATACACACCTCACCTGTGACATACACACCTTAACTGTGACATACACACCTCACCTGTGACATACACACCCTGTACCTGTGACATACACACCTCACCTGTGACATACACACCTCACCTGTGACATACACACCTTAACTGTGACCTACACACCCTACTTGTGACATACTCATCCCACACTCCCTTCCCTGTAAGCTCCCCATCCCTCACCCCAATTCCCTGTGAGCTCCCATCCCACATCCCCTCCCCGTGGTCTCCCCTCCCGCCCCTGTTCCCGGTGGGACACTCACGGGTCAGGAACACGCCCAGCCTGGCCCGGACGTGCTGGACCTGCAGCCCCAGGAGGCACCTCAGGAGCTGCTTCTCGGGGGCGCCGGGGGAGTCGCAGCCGTGGAAGGGCAGCACCTCCACCAGCCCCTCCTCCTGGCACCACTTCAGGAGCAGCTGCTTCCCGTGGGCATCGGGGGCCACCCTGCTGGCAGAGGGACAGGGAGAGGTGAGGGGCTGCCCCGCTGTCCCCCCTTCCCGGCCTGGGGGGGACCTGCCCTCCCATGTGGGGTTTTTACACTCAAAGTGTCACCACACGGGGCCAAAGTGACAAAGTGACTCCTTGCTCCAGGCAGCTCCCACTGGGTGTGTTGGTTTGTGCTGGTTTGAGCTGGTTTGTGTTGGTTTCTGTTGGTTTGTACTGGTTTGGGCTGGTTTGGGCTGGGAATGGGTTCATTTTTATCCCTGTGGTCTGGTTTGGGAGCTGTTGGGAAATCGGGGTTTGGCAGAGCCGAGGCCTTCCCTGCTCCCCCTTCCCCACCAGGTTTGGGGGGCACAGGGAGCTGGGAGGGGACACAAGCAGGGACAGCTGATCCCGAGGGACATTCCAGACCCTCTGGCATCACACTCAGGATCTAAAGCTGGGAGGAGAAGAAGGAAGGGGGGAATGTTTGGAATGACGCTGTTTGTTCCTGTGATGGAGCCTGAACACCTGCCTGGGATGGGAAGCAGGGAATGAAATCCTTGGTTTTGCTGCTGTGACAGCTTTGCTTTCCCTATTAAACTGTCTTTGTCCCAATCCATGAGTTTTCCTCACTTTCCCATGCTGGATAATCCCAGGGCCTTCAGCCTGGGATAAGGCCATGCTGGAGCAGGGACACTCCTGAAGGGATGCCGGAGCAAGTCCAGTGCTGCAGGAATTGTCACCCATGGATACAAGGCCAGGAAGGAACAGGGCCACCTCAAGGCAGCTGTGGCTGTGGGTCAGTCTATGCCACAGCAGAATAAATCCTTGGAGACACTGTGGCCCATGGATAAAGCTCCACTCGGAGCAGGCACACCCGGAGGGATGCAGCCCACAGGTAATTCCGAGCTGGAGGACGAGGGGAGTTCATCACAATGCTCCAAAGGGACCAGGGGTGGGAATTGTGGTGGCAATTCCTCCCCTGCACCGACTCCAGGCTCCTCATCCCTCCCCCAAATCCCACCTGGGATGGGACAGAGAAGAAACAGCAGAGGGATGTGGGGGAAGCCCGGGAAGGTGCTCTGAGCTCCTGGAGTGTGGAGCTGGGATGAGCTGGTGGGGAGGGAGCTCAGTTTGCTTTGGGAATGTGCAGCTCCTCCAAGGAAACCTGTGCCTCTCCTCAAGCCCTTCCAGGCTGTAACACTCCCTGAGAGAGGGAAGTGCCCTCATGGAGGTGCAGCAGGGTGCCTGGTCTGGGATCACATCCCAGACGACATTTCAGCCCAGCTGATCCTCTCCAGATCTCTGCTCCTCCACCTCCCAGAGGTGTTGGAATCCAACCCGCCCCATCCTCTCCAGATCCCAGTTCCTGCTGCTCCACCTCCCAGGGGTGTTGGAATCCAACCCGCCCCATCCTCTCCAGATCCCAGTTCCTGCTGCTCCACCTCCCAGGGGTGTTGGAATCCAACCCGCCCCATCCTCTCCAGATCCCAGTTCCTACTCCTCCACCTCCCAGAGGTGTTGGAACCCAACCCACCCAATCCTCTCCAGATCCCAGTTCCTGCTGCTCCACTTCCCAGGGGTGTTGGAACCCACCCTGCCCCGGCAGAGCCGTTACCTGAGGTCTCCTCGGAGCTTCTTGCTCTCCCAGTAGTGAAGGAGCCACTTCCACCTCCCGCTCCTGTTGAGCTTCTCCAGCACCTTCACCACCTCCTTCAGCCGGGCTGGGGGGACACCAGAGCAGCAGGGTGAGGTTGGAGTCTCTCCAGGGATGGAGACTCCCAACCTGGGTTGGGAAAACTGGGATTTTGTCTTGCTGGGTGGAGATTTTATTCCCACTAACACCTGAAATAAGTGCAACTTGTCCCTGTCACCTCTTGTCCCTTGGCTGTGCAGCCCCAGGAGCGCGGCTGAGTTTTCTCTGCCACTTCCCGTTTCTTTTGTCCTCCCTTTTCCATTAGATACTGGGAAGGAATTCCTGGCTGGGAGGGTGGGGAGGGGCTGGAATGGATTTCCCAGAGAAGCTGTGGCTGCCCCTGGATCCCTGGAAGTGTCCAAGGCCAGGTTGGAGAAACCAGGGATAGTGGAAGGTGTCCCTGCCCGTGGCTAAGATGCCCTTCCAGGTCCCTTCCAACCCAACCCATTCCATGATTCTCCAGGCTGAATGTCTTTGTACAACCCTCCACTGTACTCAGATGTTTTTGGGGACCCCTGACCTGGACCCGTTATCCAGGTGGGATCCAAATGTCCAACACAGGGCACGGATTTCCCCACTGCAAGGCGGAGCAGAGGACCGACGGAAAGTTTTGGGAATGTGACAGTAAACCAGTGGATGAGGTCAAAGGGAAGGGAAGGAAAGGGACACCACCATGCTTGTGTCCAGGTGAGAGGCCCAAGACTCACCCAGAGACATGGATTCCAACACGTGGTGGTCGGACACCAGGAAGCCCCCGGTGTGGAACAGCTCCTGGTACGTGTGACCCGTGACATCCTCGGGATTGTCCACCCCGGCAAACACCACGCCGGGACAGCGCTTCAGCTCCAGCAATCCCGGGATCTGCTCGGGGCACAGAGGCTGCCGTGAGACCCGGGGGAACCTTCTCTGCATCACCCCATCCCCACAGCCCGAGCCCAGAAAGCCGCGGATACGGCGATCCGACATTCCCGAGGAGAGAGGCCCGGCCTCGCTCCTCTGAGCTGGGGCTACTCCAGCCTTCCCAAGGGATTAAAGAGCAGGGCTGGGAGAAGGGAAGGGGGCAGGATGGAGGTCTTACGGTGTGGATGTGGGAGGAGATGTCCTCGTTGCGGATGATGACGAGCAGTTGGTCGCCGGCCCGGCGCCTCCCCCCGCTGAAGCTCCGCGGCTCCGTCCTCACCCAACCCTCCTTCCTCAGCAGGGCCTGCAACAGAAACCCTCCTCAGGCTGGCATGGGAACATCTCCGGGCACACACGGGAACACGGGGAGAGGGATGGGATGGGATGGGAAGGGATGGGATGGGATGGGATGGGATGGTGGCTGTCCTGGCACTGCGGGTGGGATGGGATGGTGGCTGTCCAAGCACTGCTGGGGCTCCACCCAGTGAAGAAACCACTGACCTTCATCCCTAAAAACCTTTTGGAAAACCACATGGAGCCTCTCACATGGATGGGGCCTCTTTGCTAATCCCCCCGTGGAATCCCCCTTCCCAGAATTCCCAGCCTGGGCTGCCTGAACTCCCACTCCCTGCTTTGGCCCGGGGGATGTTCAGCTGGCAGGATTAAGAAGGAATGGCCTCAAGCTGTGCCAGTGGAGGTTGAGGTTGGACATCAGGGAAAATTTTGTCACCAAAAAAGGTTGCCAGGCATTGGAAGGGGCTGCCCAGGGCAGGGGTGGAGCACCCATCCCCGGAGAGATTTAAAATCCCTGTGGATGTGGCACCTGGGGACATGGGGCAGTGCTGGGTTAATAGTTGGACTTGAAACTCAAAGAGAGTCATTTTAGGTGGGATATTGGGAAGGAATTCCTGGCTGAGAGGGTGGGGAGGGACTGGATTTCCCAGAGAAGCTGTGGCTGCCCCTGGATCCCTGGAAGTGTCCAAGGCCAGGCTGGAGCAACCTGGGATAGCGGGAGGTGCCCCTGCCCACGGCAGGGGTCTGGATGACCTTGAAGCTCTTTTCCAAGCCAATCCATTTCACAATTCCAGGATGACTCCACCTTAAGGGCGTTACCCACCCCCAATGACTCCTGGGCAGTGGCAGAGGCAGCTCCTGCCTACCCAAACTGCCCGTGCCAGGCCGTGCCACCTCTCCCTGCCCCTCAGTTCCCCCCATCCCTCTCCGGGGGGGGTCTCCTCTTACCTTCACCCTCTCGAAGAACGGCTCCTTGCCCGTCTCCACCAGGTAGAACATTCCCGGGTGCGTGGAGGCCTCGGAGGCCACGCGGCGCAGGTGGGAGCGCAGGGCCCCGCACAGCTCCCCGATCATGCCCTGGAAGGCCGCCGGCCTCCCGCGCCGGGACGGGCCCGGCCCCGCATCCCGGGGCTCTCCGTGCCCTCCGCCCTCCTTCCCGGCGTCCGCCCTGCTCAGCACCACCCTCGGCAACTCGGAATACTCGTCCAGGACGACGGTGACGTCCCCCGGAGAATCCAGCGGCCGGCCGTCCTGGCGGAGCTTCCCGAGGCGGAAGGGGGGTCGGGAGCGGGATGGGGATCTCCTCCTGGTGTCCCCGGGGGTGTCCTCGTCGTGCCAGCCCCTCTGCCGGTGGGATCTGCTCCGGCCCGGCCACGTGTGTGAGGGTGGGATGGTCACCTGCAAGGGGCTCCTGCCCCGTGCGGACGGCGGGGCCGGAGGGTCCCGCCGGGAAAAGTCTCTTGGGAAGATGCTCTCGGAGGTAGAAAAGGGCGGTTTCCTATTCCCAAGGACCTGGTTTAGCTTATAATGGAAACGGAGACACTCCATGTCCAGGGTGTTCTGGGTGAGCTCCTCGGAGCCCCTCCAGTCGCCCAGCAAGTTGTTCCGTAACAAATGGGACTCCCCCGGGCGGCGGCGCCGCCTCCTCGGAGTCTGGGAACTCCCAGGCCTCTCCCGGCGGTGCCGGGTGATCACGGAGCGCCGGGAATCCCTGGGGAGCCCCTGGCCCCAGTCGTCTCCCTGCCCCTCCACGGAGGAGTCGTTGCCGTTTGTCCTGGTGCCTGCGGCATCCACGGATCTCGCGCCGCGGGAAGCCCTGGCTGGAAGTGGGGGGCGTGGGTTCCTCCCAAAGTATTCCTGCTCGGAGTCGCTGGATGAAAGGTCCAATGGATCTTGAAAGGCCACGGCCCTGCGTGTGTCCCTGCTGAGGAGCTGCTGTGCCCTCGGGAACGTGTCCAAAGCGTCCTCAGCGTCGCTGAACTCCAGCCTTTCTCCAGAGGGGTCCCTGTGCTCGCGGAACGGCAACGCAGGGATGGGGGAAGTGAGGATTTCCCCCTCCTCCACCTCTGCGCTGGCACGGTGTGGATCAGGGAATGCCTCGGGTCCCATGTCCCTGCTGGCACGGTATGGATCAGGGAATGCCTCGGATTCCTCATCCCCGGGATCAGGGAATTCCTCGGATCCGCTGTCCTCCCACGCAGAGTGGGGCTCGTGCCACGGATCGAGCAAATCCCCCTCTGGAGAAGATGGAGCACTGGAAAAGAGGATGCTTCTTCCTTCTTCCCAGTCCTCAGGTGGGATGGGCTCCTCCCTTTGGCTCCCGGGGCTGGCACAGGGGGAGCAGGACCACGAGGCATCGTCCGGAGCCGAATCCGTGCCGGGAGGGACCATCCCGGGATACACATCCAGGACTGAGCCCGGCTCGGTGCCGTGGAGACCATCCTGGAGACTGTGTGGAGGAGGAGGAGACCTGGATCTTGGCTCCCTTGGAAGCACATCCACAGGGGAGCCCCGTGCCCGCCCCGCGGGGCGCGGAGCCGGGTATCTTATCACCCCTCCGGAACATCTGGGATTTACGGAGCCCTCCAGGCTCCGGGCACCCACACTCCCCTCTGGAGCACCTCCTTCCTCCCAGGAATTCCAGGGCTGGCCCAGGGCTGGCTCCCACGGGCTCTGCTCCGAGCTGGGGGGTTCTGTGTCTTCCTGATAAGCAGGAGAAGCAGGAGCTGAGTATCCAGGGCTGGATGGGGAGGGGCTGTGTGGGAAGCTCCGTCGCTGCCCGGGGAGCTCCTCCAGGGCTGACATCCCTTCCCTCTCCAAGGAGGAGGGCTCTGACTCCAGGGGGGGATGGAGAGGCATCTCTGGCTCCTGTGGAGTGTCACCCCCCATCTCCATGTCTGTTCTGTCGCTCCTGGGGGAATTCTCTGCACCAGGACACACATCCTCACCCTCCCCAGCCCCGGGATCACCTCCCGCGGCTCTGTAGTCCAAGGGGAAGTCCTGGCCACCACCTGCTCCCATGGGATCATCCGGCATTCCTGTGCCGTTGGAACAAGGGCTGCCAGGCTCTTCCCCCAAAACCTCGCTCCTTTCCTGGTTTGGCTCCCCAGGATCAGCACCGACATCATCTCCCTGTTCCCGGGAAAAGCAGCTGCTCCTGCCCAGGTCGCGCCGTGACGGCGACGGGAAGCCTGCCGTGGTCTCCTGGTCCTCTGGAGCAGCTCTGGGATCGATGGATCCATCAGGAGACATCAGGTAGGCAGAGTTGGAGTGAGGGGACAAGGGCAGTGCCAGTCCCTGGCTGTGTGGGGACTCCAGGCCATCCCTGTTCCCGGTAGCGGGCACGTGACCCCTGTCCTTCTGCTCCAAGTCATCCCCGAGTGTCTCTCCAGCAGCTCCAGAGCTGCCTGTAACACTGTCTGGCTGTGCTCCATAGAAAAGGCCGGGATCAGGTGGGAATGTCTCTCCACTGTCACGGGGCGACCCCACATCCGAAGATTCCCACCTTTCTTCAGTGGGCATGTGATCCCTGTCTTTCTGCTCCAAGTCATTCCCAAGCGTCTCTCCAGCAGCTCCACAGACTGGCTGTGCCTCATGGAAAAGGCCTGGATCAGGTGGGAATGTCGCTCCACTGTCACGGGGTGACCTCACATCTGAAGATTCCCACCTTTCTTCAGCGGTCACATGATTCCTGTCTTTCTGCTCCAAGTCATTCCCGAGTGTCTCTCCAGCAGGTTCTGGGCTGCCTGTAACACTGTCTGGCTGTGCCCCATGGAAAAGGCCTGGATCAGGCGGGATCATCTCCCCACTGTCCCGGGGTGACCCCACATGGGCTGGACTGGCCACACCAACACCACCTGTCTCCGAACACGGAGTGGCCGGAGCATCCCAGGGCTCCGGGGGTTCATCCACGCTCGGTGCCCTCTCCCCAGGAAGCCCTGGAGAGTCAATCCCGCTCCAACTCCCAGTCCAAGTCCCGTCAGACATCATCAGTGTGGAGCTGCCCAAGCAGGGCGATGCCAAGGAGGAGGGGCTGGGCACAGAGTCCTCTCCGGGAGCACCGAAGTCCTCTGGAAGTGGGGAACTCCCTGTTTTCTGGTCGCTGTGCTCGCTCTCCATCTCGGTGTCACTGCTCTCGGACAACACCAAATCCACAGACCCCAGGACTTCCTCAAAGTCCTCTTCGTTCTCCTCCTTGTCCTCCTCCAACTCTCCCTCCTCTTTCTCCAGGTGTCCGAAGGGGTCTTGTGATTCCAGCCCTTCCTTGCTGGCTCCGGCAAGATTTGCACTCCGGGGACTCGCTTCCAAGGGCACGGAATCGCGGGCACGTCGTGGATGGCTCGCACTTCCAGGACTCGCTTCCAAGGGCATGGAATCCCATGGATCACTGGTGGCCCGGCTGCTGTCCCTGCTGTCCTCAACCTCCGTGCCGTGTCCGGCATCTCCCGCGCTCTCCGAATCCCTGGGAGAACCACGCCCTGCTCCTGCCTCCCGCTCCCTCTCCTGCTGCTCCCCATCTCTTGGAATTCCACCCTGGCTGTCTGTGCACGGAGCTGCACTGGAATTGGGGGCCAGGCTGCGGGAGTTTTCCATGCCTGGCACGGCCGGGCGCTCGCTGGCACGTCCCGGCTCCTCGGAAGGGCTGGGGGTGATCGCAGCATCCGGCGGCTCCTCCTGGAATGACACAATCCAGAGGTTATTATTCCTCACGGGAGGCAAACACAGGGGCTGAGATGCCCCTGCAGGAGGAGCAAAAATAAACAACCAACCAACCAAAAAACCCCGGGATTTTTCCTGTGGGAGCTGCTCCTTTGTTCGGAGCAGAAGTTTTAAATTAAAGATTTTAGGCCCGGAATTCAGGCTTGAAAAATGCCCCTGGTTTGTGTTTATCCACTCCTGACCCTCTGCAGGCTGGAGGAACGGCAAAAATTGGATTGAAAAGCTCTCTCCAGAATGGAATATTAATGGATCTCCCCACAGGGATGAGGGGGACGCTGCAAAGGATTCCCTGCCTGGGAATGGGACGGGATGTTTGTGGTTCCTCTCTTCCCTCAGGCTCACACCTTGCCTGAGCTCACACTCCAACCAGGAACAGGCATTCAGTTCTTTGGGATTCTTGGAGAGCATCCATATAAAGGCCCTGCTCCCCTGGATAGGGATAGGCAGCTCATGCCAGAGGCTGGGAATGCCAACTCAATCCAAGAGGAACACCCACAGCTGGACTGTGGCCTGAAAGCTTCTTTTATGGGTGGCTCCAAGCGTGTCCCGAATAAATCCTGGAGGATATTTGGGACACGCATTCCCTGCCTCCAGGAGAGCCCCAAAGCAGGACATCCATCCCACTCCTCTGGGAGCGGGAGCAGGAATGTGCCTCGCTGAGCTGTGTCCTCCCCGACCCCACACTCACCGCGGTGACACTCGAGACGTCCTCGGAGATTCCTGGCTGCCCCTCTCCCTCATCCAGGCTCTCCTCGGCGCTGGGAACGCCCTCGGGAACGCTCTCCGGACAGCTGGTGGAGGAAGGCTCCTCCTCCTCGCCGGGCAGCTCCCCGGAGGAGGAGGACACCGTGCTGTCCACACCTCCGGCAGCGCCGTTGGCGTAGCTCCGCAACCGCAAGTGCGGCCGGCCCTTCTCCCGGCGGGAAGACCCTTTTCTGGGAGTGCCGGGATCCACGGAGCTGCTGGGAGTCTGGTCGGGGTCGGACCTGGAGTCGGCCGGGCACGTCTTGCGGCCGCGGGGCTCGAGGTCGTCGTCGCTGAGGTCCCAGAAGCAGTTGGAGCTGTTGAGCAGGACGTACTTCTTGGGGTCGCGGTGCTCCACCACCTTCCGCGAGCTGTTGAGCTGCGCCGAGGGCCTCCTGTAGAACAGGGCCACCCACGTGTGCAGGATCAGCTTCATGTCCTCCACGGTCTCGGGGAGGCTGCAGTCCCAGGGCCTGGGAAAAGGGAAAACACACGCTTGGAATGTCTCCGTCGTGGGCTCGGCGCCGAGGGAGCCGGGGATCGCCGGCTACGGATCGGCTGAGGGTGTTTCCAGCTTTTTTTTTTTAAAAGGAAATGAAAGTAAAAGTAGAGGATCCCAAGGGTTGGTTGGAGGACTTGGGGTGGTGGCTTTGGGGGCCAATTCTGGCTGCAGAGCCACGGGAATCATGGAATGGTTTGGGTTGGGAGGGACCTCTCAGCGTAATCTTGTCCAATCCCCCTGGACCAGGTTGCTCCAAGCCCAGCCTGGCCTGGGACACTTCCAGGGATCCAGGGGCAGCCACAGATGCTCTGGGAAATCCATTCCAGCCCCTCACCACCCTCCTAGCCTCCTTCCCAATATCCCACCTAACCCTGCCCTCTGGCACTGGGAAGCCATTCCCTGTGTCCTGTCCCTCCAGGCCTTGTCTCCAGTCCCTCTCCAGCTCTCCTGGAGCCCCTTTAGGCCCTGGAAGGGGCTCTCAGCTCTCCCTGGAGCCTTCTCTTCTCCAAGATCAACATTCCCAGCTCTCCCAGCCTGGCTCCAGAGCAGAGGGATCCAGCCCTGGGAGCAGATCCATGGCTTCCTCTGGATTTGCTCCAGCAGCTCCATGTCCTCCTGCTGTTCCCCAGGGCTGGATTCCAGGCAGAGGGGCAGAATCCCCCCTCCCCTGGCTGTGGGATCAGCCCAGAACACAGGTGGATTTCTGAGCTGGTCACATCCAACTTGTCACCCCCCACCCCCCTCCCAAATCCCTCCTTTTCTCCAGGGAAAACCCACCCAACCGAGCAGGGGGAGTAAAACCCATTCCCGCACCGAGCAAAAACAAAAAACCAAAGAGCAACTCCAACCCCTTCCCCAAGGCTTTTCCAGACCCCGGGCCGACTCACCCGTGCAGGGCGCGGATGACGGATCTCTCCAGGATGTTGTTGGTGTAGCGGGTGTCCAGGTTGTGGGCGTAGTGCCCGTCCCACTGGAGCGTCACCTTCAGGGACTTGCCCCGCGCCCTCACCGTGTGGCACTTGGCGAAGTCCTCCTTGTCCCTGGCTGAGCCCGTCCTGCTCCTCGTGCCCTCGGGGACCCAGGGCGGGCGGGACCCGCCGGGCTGGCGCCGGAACGGCAGCACCTTCCCCACCAGCGGGCCCGCCCGGGCTCTCCCGGTGCCGTTTTGGGCGGGGGCCGCTCCGGAGGTGGGCGTTCCTGGGGGATTCGTTCCCGGGGGACTCGTTCCTGGGGGATTGGTGCCTCTCCTGCGCAGCTCCGGCGGGCCCACCATGGCGTAGGAGTGCTCCAGGGCCACGGCGCAGTGCTGCCTCTCCCCGGCCCATCCCGGCCTCACGCCGCTCTGGCTGGGAATTCCGGAGGTTCTCTCCCTGGGAGCGGCGGTGGCGGCGGTGGAGCCGTTGAATCCCGGTTTTCCTGCGTTGGATCCCGGTTTTCCCGCGGCGGGAAGGGCCTGGTTGGGTGCCGCCCTCCCGGTGGAGGCGGTTCGTCTTCCAGGCCGCTGGTGCTTGGGGTCGGGAGCGGGAGCAGCACGCGGGGATCTGAGCTGGGGACGGCCCTGCTGCTCCTGGGGGGAGGCACTGGGAGGGCTCAGGGACACCGGGATCGCCTCAGGGATCACCTCAGCGTCCTCGGCGTCCTGGGGGGAGTCGCCGGAAGGGTTGGAGGACGCGGGGATCACCTCAGTGCTGTGGGACACCGGGATCACCTCGGAGTCCTGGGGGGAGTCGCTGGAAGGGCTCTGGGACACCAGGATCACCTCAGTGTCTGGGGGGGAGTAACTGGAAGAGCTGTGGGACACAGGGATCACCCCAGTGCTGTGGGATGCAGGGATCACCTCGGTGCTGTGGGACACAGGGATCACCCCAGTGCTGTGGGATGCAGGGATCACCTCGGTGCTGTGGGACACAGGGATCACCCCAGTACTGTGGGATGCAGGGATCACCTCGGTGCTGTGGGACACAAGAATCACCCCAGTGCTGTGGGACACAGGGATCACCCCGGTGCGGTGGGACACAGTGAATACCTCAGTTCTGTGGGACACGGGGATCACCCCAGAGTTGTGGGACACAGTGAATACCTCAGTTCTGTGGGACACGGGGATCACCCCACAGTTGTGGGACACAGGGGTCACCTCAGTTCTGTGGGACACGGGGGTCACCCCAGTTCTGTGGGACACAGGGACCATCCCAGAGCTGTAGGACACCGAGATCCCCTCATCGTCCTGGGAGGAGTCGCTGGAAGGGCTGTAGGGCACAGGGATCACCTCAGCACTGGAGGGCACAGGGACCACCTCGGTGCTGGGGGACACAGGGGTCCCCTCCGTGTCCTGGGGGATGTAGAGGGACACGCAGGAGCCCAGGGCCAGGTCAGCCAGCAGGTTCAGCCCGTGAGAGTCGCACTCGTTCCCGAGCTCAGCCGGATAAAACTCGTTCCCTTGGCTCTGCTCTCCGTGGGACTGGGGAGAGACTTGGGCTGGGAGGTCGGGGAGTGGCTCCTGCAACTCTGTGTGAGGAAAGAGAAGTTAAGGGGTGAATAAACATCAAATAAATCATAGAATCACAGAATCAGTCAGGTTAGAAGGGACCTCCGAGCTCATCCAGCCCAACCCTTGATCCAACCCCGCCGTGGTTCCCAGTCCATGGCACTGATGCCACATCCAGTCTGTCCTTAAACACCTCCAGGGATGGAGAATCCCCCACTTCCCTGGGCAGCCCATTCCAAAGGCTGAGCACCCTCTCTGCAAAGAAATTCTTCCTGATATCCAACCTAAACCTCCCCTGGCACAGCTTGAGGCGGAGCCCTCTTGTCCTACTGCTGGTTCCCTGGAGCAGAGCCCGACCCCCCCCGGCTCCCCCCTCCTGGCAGGGAGTTGCAGAGAGTGAGGAGGTCTCCCCTGAGCCTCCTCCTCTCCAGGCTGAGCCCCCCCAGCTCCCTCAGCCTCTCCTCCCAGCACTTGGGCTCCAGTCCCTTCCCCAGCCTCGCTGCTCTTCTCTGCCCCTGCTCCAGCCCCTCCAGGGCCTTCCTGAGCTCAGGGCCCAGAGCTGGACACAGCACTCCAGGGGTGGCCTCCCCAGCGCCCAGCCCAGGGGCACAAGCCCTGCCCTGCTCCTGCTGCCACACTCTTCCTCAGCCAGCCCAGCAGCCCTTGGCCCTCTTGCCCCCCTGGGCACACTCGGGCTCCTCTTCAGCTCCCTGCCCAGCCCAACTCCCAGCTCCCTTCCTGCCTGGCTGCTCTCCAGCCCCTCTGGCCCAGCCTGCAGCTGCAGGGGCTTCTTGTGGCCAAAGGGCAGGACCCGGCCCTTGGCCTTGGGCAACCTCAGCCCCTTGCAATCAGCCCCTGGATCCAGCCTGGCAGGAAAAAGGGGTCTTTCCAACAAGAATTTCTTTGCAGAGAGGGTGCTCAGCCATTGGAATGGGCTGCCCAGGGAAGTGGGGGATTCTCCATCCCTGGAGGTGTTTAAGGACAGACTGGATGTGGCATCAGTGCCATGGGCTGGGAACCACGGCGGGGTTGGATCAAGGGTTGGGCTGGATGATCTCAGAGGTCCCTTCCAACCCAGCTGATTCTGGGATTCTGTGATTCTATGAACATGAATTTCTCACACTTAAAACATCTCCATGGGCATGGAGGTCGTGGCTACTGGGAAATGACCCAGAGCTGGGAATCTGGATCCCAGTGACTTCAGGAAAGAAATAAAAGGCCTGGCACCCACAGGGAACAAAAATCTCCCTCAGCCACTTAAATACAACCCGAGATGTTTTAGGTTTCCTTCATCACTCTGATTTTGCCTAAAGTTTTTCTTGTGGTTGGAGCATTTGCAACAAATAGACTCCATTCACGAGATAAACTCCGTGTGATTCATCCAATCATTCAGTTATTAAAAAAACCCCTCTAAAGCAGAGAAAATGTGTATGATTTGTTCATAACACAGCCCTGAGCACACACACAGAGAAACCTGGGGGTTCCCAAAGGCAGCCAGAGCACGGAAATGGGAGTTCATTTAGTTTTTGGTGTCAAAAATGCCCCCTCACTGCAGCTCCAGGCCCGAGGTCGTAAAACCAGTGTGGGGCCATTAAAGGAGGGATTAAAAACCAGCACAAAAATCTCCCTTCCGGTAAAACCTCATTAAACCAGAGCTGTCCTAAAAGTTCCTAAATCACCTGGAATTTCCTGGAGGGTGAGACACGGGAATGGAGCATTTTCTTCCCGCTGAACGCTCTGATGTGGCATTTTTGGCACATCCTGGGATTCAGCAGGACCCACCCAACACATTCCTGCTGGAAGGATCCCAGATCCGCTCTGGGAACCCCACGAGGGCAGGGCTGGATCATGGAACCATGGGACACACTCCACAATCCCACCTTACTCCAAGCCCAGTCCAACCCGGCCTTGGAGACTTCCAGGGATCCAGGGGCAACCACGGCTCCTCTGGGCGCCCTGCGCCAGCACCACCGGGAATTCCTTCCCAATATCCCAATATTTAGCCTCTTCCAGTTAAAATCCTTATCCCCTTGTCCTCTCCCTGCCACCACCTCAGCCTTTTGAGGGAACGATTTCCCAAGGGAAACCACGGAACTCTCACCGCTTCCCGCTCGGCCGTCGTCGCCTTGAGCTTGGGACGGGTCGCGCTCCGGACTTTCCTGCTCCTTGTTTTTCACCGGAGTCGGGGCTCTCTCGGCACGAGGCACCTCCACGGGAATGGGAATGGGGTCGGGAACAGGACTGGGGGTGTCTGGGCTCTCCGCAGTCCTCGCTCTCTTTGCTGCTGGATCGGGAGCGTCGGGAGAATTGGGAATGTCGGGAGCGTCGTTTCCCTTCTCCGCGGGCTTCTCCGGGGATTTGCGGACGATTTTGGCGGACAGGACCTCGGCACCTGGGACAGGGGGGAGAGGGAGGACAAGCCTCGAGGGTTGGAACGTGTTAAAAAGGCAGATTATGAAGGAATCAGGGATAAAGTTCAGCCTGGGAAGGGGGGAGGTGTCTGTAAGATCTGTTTGACTTCTCATTATCCTGCTCGGATTTAATAACGGGAATAAATCCAGGGCTTGTGTCCCTGGCACCTGGAAGCAAAGGAAGGGAACAACATCCACTCTCAGGCATTTCACTGACATTCCCTGGATTCCCTCTTTTTTTCCTTCAGTTCTCCTTCCCAGGAGAACAAAAGACTGAGGAAACATTTCCACAGATTTGTTTGGATGCTGCCAGGAGCTCTGGCACCTTGGGAAGGGGGAGATGTTTGTAGGATTTGTTTGACTTCCCATTATCCTGCTCTGATTAACTAATACATGGTCAGACATAAACAATAAATAAATAATAATTTGGTAATACATTCACTGCCATGACCTGATGATGCCCCTGTCACCTGGAAGCAAAGGAAGGGAACAACACCCACTCTCAGGCATTTCACTGACATTCCCTGAGTTCCCTCTTTTTTTCCTTCAGTTCTCCTTCCCAGGAGAACCAGAGGCTGTGGAAAAACCACCACACATTTGTCTGGATGCTGCCAGGAGGTCTCTGCCTGCTCTGGGCACCTTGGGGGATGGCAAAGACTAAAGAGGAATCAGGAATAAAATCAAGCCTGGGAAGGGGGAAGGTGTTTGTATAATTTGTTTGACTTCTCATCATCCTGCTCTGATCTATTAATATATGGTCAAAAATAAATAATAAATAAGTAAATAATCATTTGGTAATAAATAAATGGTAATAAATAAACAATAAATAAATAACAATTTGGTAATAAATTCACTGCCATGACCTGATGATGTCCCTGTCACCTGGAAGCAAAGGGAACAACACCCACTCTCAGGCATTTCACTGACATTCCCTGGGTTTCCTCATTTTTCCTTCAGTTCTCCTTCCCAGGAGAACCAGAGGCTGTGGAAAAACCACCCCAGATTTGTTTGGATGCTGCCAGGAGCTCTGGGCACCTTGGGGGATGGCAAAGACTAAAGAGGAATCAGGAATAAAGTTCAGCCTGGGAAGGGGGAAGGTGTTTGTATGATTTGTTTCACTTCTCATCATCCTGCTCTGATCTATTAATATATGGTCAAAAATAAATAATAAATAAGTAAATAATCATTTGGTAATAAATAAATGGTAATAAATAAACAATAAATAAATAACAATTTGGTAATAAATTCACTGCCATGACCTGATGATGCCCCTGTCACCTGGAAGCAAAGGAAGGGAACAACACCCACTCTCAGGCATTTCACTGACATTCCCTGAGTTCCCTCTTTTTTTCCTTCAGTTCTCCTTCCCAGGAGAACCAGAGGCTGTGGAAAAACCACCACACATTTGTCTGCATGCTGCCAGGAGCTCTGGGTACCTTGGGGGATGGCAAAGACTAAAGAGGAATCAGGAATAAAATCAAGCCTGGGAAGGGGGAAGGTGTTTGTATGATTTGTTTCACTTCTCATCATCCTGCTCTGATCTATTAATATATGGTCATAAATAAATAATAAATAATCATTTGGTAATAAATAAATGGTCAGACATAAACAATAAATAAATAATCATTTGGTAATACATTCACTGCCATGACCTGATGATGCCCCTGTCACCTGGAAGCAAAGGAAGGGAACAACATCCACTCTCAGGCATTTCACTGACATTCCCTGAGTTCCCTCTTTTTTTCCTTCACTTCTCCTTCCCAGGAGAACAAGAGGCTGTGGAAAAACCACCCCAGATTTGTTTGGATGCTGCCAGGAGCTCTGGGTACCTTGGGGGATGGCAAAGACTAAAGAGGAATCAGGAATAAAATCAAGCCTGGGAAGGGGAGAGGTGTTTGTATGATTTGTTTCACTTCTCATCATCCTGCTCTGATCTATTAATATATGGTCAAAAATAAATAATAAATCAATAATCATTTGGTAATAAATAAATGGTAATAAATAAACAATAAATAAATAATCACTTGGTAATACATTCACTGCCATGACCTGATGATGTCCCTGTCACCTGGAAGCAAAGGAAGGGAACAACACCCACTCTCAGGCACCTTCACTGACATTCCCTGGGTTCCCTCCGTTTTTCCTTCAGTTCTCCTTCCCAGGAGAACCAGAGGCTGTGGAAAAACCACCCCAGATTTGTTTGGATGCTGCCAGGAGCTCTGGGCCCCTTGGGATGACTCCAAGTGCACTCCAAGTATCCCACCTGGACGAAGTCAGCCCTTGGGATGACTCCAAGCGACCCCCGACTATCCCACCTGGATGAAGTCAGCCCTGTCTATCCAGCCCTTACCTCTTTTCCTCCCGTGTGGAAGCTGCAGGTTGGCCAACTTAAGCAAGGACCCCTTGGAATTCCCTGTGGATCCCGGCCTTTTGGGAGAGGGAGCGGCGCTGGATTTCCTCCTGGCGCTCCGGCCATCGTCTCCCGCGGCAGCCTCCGCCGAGCCCCTCTTCCTGCTCATGAGGAGCCGGGTGGATTTCCTCCTTCCCTGCTCCCCCCAGGGATCGCTGGGATCTCCCTCGGGCTCTGCCCCGCCCTGGGAATTGGGGGATTCCCTCCTGGGAGCGGCAGGCGGGGCAGGAGCAGCAGCAGCGCCGAGCAGGGACTGCCCGTCCCCCTTCAAGCAGCCGGTGGCCGCCGACAGCTTCAGGGTGTAGTTCTTGGGGTTGAGGAGGTAGTGCCGCAGCTGGCACAGGGACTTCTCCGGGAATCTCTGGAAGGGGTTGGATCCCTCCTCTGCGGGGGGAAGGCTCAGGTGGTCGCCGCCCTCGGGCTCCGGGTCCTGCCCCAGCTTCGCGTATTCCTGGAAGTGCTGCTTGATCCGCGTGCTGGCGCTGACCGAGTCATTCCAGGGGCAGCTCCCGGCTTTCCGCAGGGCGTAGCGGAGCCCCGGCAGGAGGGAGGCCACTTTCCAGGGGATGTCCCTCTTGTCGCCGTACTTCCTGATGGCCCTCGGAGCGCGTTTTTCCGCTGCGAAAGGGGGGGGGGGAAAGTTAAAAAGGGTTGAATTTTACCCCCCCCCCCAAATCACCTCCCTCGAGCACGAGAAGCTCCAGAACCCCCGGCTGGGAGATGTCCCGGTTTTGGGGGATGTTTGGGACTGCTGAGGGTGAGAAAGAGCTGCGAGTGGGAGTCAAAAAGAGTGAATTAAGGTGAATTAAACCGAGGTGGAAAGGCTGGTGTTGTATCAGCCAGCCCCGTCCTGCAGGAAATTCCAGGGGGAGATGGCTCACAGAGTGGTCCAAGACCCTTCGCTCCACAAATTCCCATTAAATCCAGCATTTCAGAGCTCTAAAATACGTGGAATCTGTGGTGGGTTTTTTTTTCCTTTTAAACTCGTTTAAATGTAGGGAGCAGCACCATTTACAGCTCGCTGGGGTTGTGTCCCTGCTCACACCCAACTTCCAGCAGCTCCAGCTCCGGGATGAGGGACACAAACACCCCCCCCCCGGGGGCAGGAATAAAGAACGGGGGGATTTCCCAAAGCTGATCCTGCCGAAAACCCGTCGGGAAAACTTCCCAGCCCCACCATTCCCAAGCCTCCCTGGCCATCCCAACGCCAGCCTCGCAGATTTTCCCTGCTGGGATCGCAGCCCCTTCCCAACAGCAGCTCCATGACCTGCTCCAGGACTCCCCCCCACACCCCAAATCTCCCAAGTTTCCTTCCCGGTTCCATCGCGGTGCAGCCCCAGATTCCATCAACACCTCGTTCCCGGGGCTGGAAACGCGGGAAGAGCCCGAGCTGCCGAAGGAAGCCCTGGGATTTATACCTTCAGTCTCCCCGTGCTCCCGTCCCGCTCTTCCTCACGGATCCGTGTCTCCCGGCGCCCTTCCACGTGGCCGCTGACCCCTCCTTCGTACCCTTTGTTATCCCAACGGCTGGAATTTCACAGTCTCAGGGGTCCCACCCACCCCCCGCAGCTCGATCTGCATCTCAAAACCCTGCCTCGAGCCAGCCGGAGATCCCAAAAAAAAAACATTCCCGCCCCCCGGAGTGGAGCTCCCCGGCGGCTCCAGGGCGGCTGCCCTCGCACGTGTCTCCATGGAATTCGGCTCCCGCCGTCCCAAAATTCCCGGAGAGCCCGCGGGACGTGGTCAGTGGAGCTCCCTTTCCGCACAAACCAGGCTCATCCAGCTTTTCCCTCTGCTGGTGCTTCGCACCCCCGGGCTCGGCCCAGCTTCCCATCGTGATCCCGCTGCTTTTCCCCGGCAATCCCAGTGCCCTTCCCTGTCGCCTCTTCCCTCCCAGGTGGGTGATTTTCCCCGATCCTTGTTTTTGGCAGGCCCGGGCATCCCTGGGAGCCACTTTCCCGGCTGCCTGGCTCCACCTCCGGCTTGGGAATGCCTTCCCAACATTCCTCCTGACACCCGTCGGGACGGGGAGGGAACGGATTCCCAGCAGAGAGGCTGCTTGGTTGGAAATGGGAAACCTTATTATCCTGGGAAAACGGGCTTTTAATCCCAGGGAATGGGAAACATTATTGCCCAGGAGAAAAGGGTTTTTAATCCCAGGAAATGGGAAACATAAATAGCCAAGGAAAATGGGGTTTTAATCTTAAGGAATGGAAAACTTTATTACCCAAGGAAAAGAGGTTTTAATCCCAGGGAAGGGGAATCATTTTTGCCCAAGGAAAAAGGGTTTTAATCCCAGGGAAGGGAAAACATTTTTGCCCAAGGAAAAAGGGTTTTAATCCCAGGGAATGGGAATCATTTTTGCCCAAGGAAAAAGGGTTTTTAAGCCCAGGGAACGGGAAACATTGGGGTTTCCCAAATGGGAAAAAATGAGGTTCTCCCAAAAAAATGGGGGTTTAATCCTGAGGAATGGGAAACCTTATTACCCAAGGAAAGAGGGTTTTTAATCCCAGGGAATGGGAAACATTTTTACCCAAGGGAAAAGGGTTTTTAATCCCAGGGAATGGGAAGCATTATTGCCCAAGGAAAAAGGGGTTTTCAATCCCAGAGAAAAGAGGTCTTGGAGCCAGGGGATGGCCAGGACTGGCTCCCAGGACAACACAGGCAGGAATCCTGCTGGCACCGGAGGGAAAACATCTGGAAACCGTCAAGGTCCAGACCAGGACACGTAATATGTGGGAAATATGTGGAAAATCCGTGTTCATTCCACGTTCTCCTTTTCCCCAGCTCTTTGCTTTGCTGCCCTCAGGCTCCACATCCTCTTCAGCAGCTCCAAACCTTCCCAGCAACGAGCTCCTTGTGCTTCCTGGGATGTTCCTTGTGCCCTTCCCTGTCTCCATCCCCTTCTCTCCCACAAGGGAAATCCCTCCTTGGCCTGTTCTCCTCACACTCAGCCTTTTCCAGGGAGAAATCCCTCTGCTCCAGAGGTTGTTGGGCAGGATCTCAATCTCTGGGTGCTCAGGGCACTGAATTTGGGGCATCAAAGACCCCCTGAGATGCCAAAGTACCACCTTGGCTTCACCCAACTTCCAAACCCACCTTGTATCCCAATCCTGAAGGAAGATTGTCCCTGGAAGTTATAAAAACTCTGCTCCCTCTTTGAAGCCACTCCCCTTGTCCTATCACCACAAAAATCCCTTTCCATCCTTTTTTTCAGGCTCCCTGTGTTTATTCTCCAGGAAAATCAGCACATTTTGGGGCCCTCCCCTGTCTCCATTCCCTTCTCTCCCACAAGGGAAATCCCTCCTTGGCCTGTTCTCCTCACACTCAGCCTTTTCCAGGGAGAAATCCCTCTGCTCCAGAGGGGGTTCCCTGCCTGTTGGGCACCTCTGGGTGCTCAGGGCACTGAATTTGGGGCATCAAAGACCCCCTGAGATGCCAAAGTACCACCTTGGCTTCACCCAACTTCCAAACCCACCTTGTATCCCAATCCTGAAGGAAGAACTTTGTCCCTGGAAGTTATAAAAACTCTGCTCCCTTTCAGTTTGAAGCCACTCCCCCTTGTCCTATCACCAAAAAAATCCCTTTCCATCCTTTTTTTTCAGGCTCCCTGTGTTTATTCTGCCTCCCCTGAGCACAGCTGAGGGATTTAAGCCAGGCTCTGCAGGACCAGGCTCCCCTCAGCCACCTCAGGGAGTGGGGGCTGCTGAAAACTGGCTGAAAATTAATTATTTATCCATGTTTCTCACCATTTATCATCATTTATCACTGTTTATTACCATTTCTCACCATTTTTCACCATTTCTCACCATTTATCAATATTTATCCCCATTTATCAATATTTCTCACCATTTATCACTATTTATCCCCATTTA